ATATAAATCTAATTCTGAGTAATAGGTATTAGAATTTTGTCTCTAGTTATGAATATCCTACCCAAAGTTTTATTCCATTTACCTTGAGGTGACTGGTACTCATCTCTATTAAAAAAAAAAAAAAAAAAAAAAGTGCAGACCTTGACCAGATTGCTGATTTGAGGCATGAAAGGGGAAAAGTATGAAATCATATTTTTTTTCCTTAAATTACCAGTGTCATTATTTTAGTAAATGCTGAAATGATAAGACAGGTGAATTTGAAGGAATTATTTACAAAAACTGCAAAAGAAAAAAAAATCTTCAAGTAAGGCATGGAACACATGCTTACTTATTATGTTTATCTGGGCATGGAATTGCTCTTGTGAATGTTCACTTGCATTCTGAATGTTATTTTTGTTTACCAGTATGTTACACTCTGTATACTAGTGACTAATACATGCACTTGCAAATAAAAATATTTACATATAGTCCTTTATATTCCTATCATATAATATTTATTGCTTTCTTCACTCAAGGAAGAGTTTTAAATTCAATATAAGTTCATAAAATACTATACATTTTTGTATTATTTTCTTTTGGCTTTAGTTTTATAGAAGACGTTGAAGGAGAAATAACTCCAAAATATTCTTAAGTACTTTCTAGTTAAAATGACACAGGACTTAGTTATGGCAGTATAATCAAATCTTTTAACAGTAATTTATAATGTACCATTAGTACTGTGGAACATTCTAACTTGTGTATAAAGTGTAAGAACATGGGGGGGAATTCATACTTCAGATTTGTATTCATTTGTCACAGTGTCAACTCAACCTGGCCGCTGGAGTGAAATGGAACAATAAACTCTTACAAATACAACAACAGAAAGAGTAGGACTAAGGAGAATCTCCATTCTTTACGGGGAGCGTGACCACTGAGGATAAGGAAAAGACAGAGGTTCTGAATGCCTTCCTTACATTTGTCTTTAAAAGCCAGACCAGTTATCATCAGGGTTATGATACTCCATTCTCTGAGTGCAAACAGAACCCCCTGCGATTCAGGAGGACTCTACTAATCCAGCTGGACTGTCACAAGTCCATGGGGTCAGATGAGATTCATCTGAGAGTGCTGAGGGAACTGGTGGGAGTGATAGCCGAGTCACTTTCCATGACCTATTAGCACTCCTTGTTGATTGGTGAAGTCCCAGAAGACTGGAGACATGCCAGCGTGACTCCCATCTACAAGAAGGGTTGTAAGGAGGATCTGGGGAACTACAGGCCTGTTAGCCTGACCTCAGTGCCAGGGAAGATTATGGAACAGATTGTCTTGAGGGAGATCACGTGCAATACAACCGGGGAATCAGTGCTAGCCCGCATGGGTTCACGAAGGGCAGGTTCTGCTTGACCAACCTGATCTCCTTCTATGATCTAGTGACCCATCTGATGGATGAGAGAAAGGCTGTTGATGTAGTCTACCTAGACTTCAGCAAAGCCTTTGACACTGTCTCCCACAGCATTCTCCTGCAGAAGCTGGCAGCCCGGGGCTTGGACAGGTACGCTCTCGGCTGGATAAGGAAGTGGCTAGAGGGCCGGGCCCAGAGAGTGGTGGAGAATAGAGTTAAATTCAGCTGGTGACTGGTCATGAGTGGTGTTCCCCAGGGGTTGGTGCTAGGGCGCTTTCTTTTCATTATCTTTATTGATGACCTGGATGAGGGAACTGAGTGTATCCTCAGTAAGTTTGCAGACGACACGAAATTGGCTGGAAGTGTTGATCTGCCTGGGGGATAGTAAGGCCCTATAGAGGGATCTGGACAAGCTGAATAGTTGGGCTGAAGCCAATGGGATGAGGTTCAACAAGACCAAATGCTGAGTCCTGCACTTTGGCCACAACAACCCCAGGCGATGCAACAGGCCTGGGGCAGAGTGGCTGGAACTGTGTAGAGGAAATGGACCTGGGGATATTGATTGATGCTTGGCTGAACATGAGCCAGCAGTGTGCCCAGGTGGCCAAGAAGGCCAACAGCATCCTGGCTTGCATCAGAAACAGTGTTGCCAGCTGAAACAGGGAAGTAATTGTCCCCTGTACTCAGCACTGGTGAGGCTGCACCTTCAGTACTGTGTCCAGTTTTGTGCCCCTCACTGCAAGAAAGACATTGAGGCCCTGGAGCGTGTTCAAAGAAGGGTGATAAAGCTGGTGAGGCGTCTGGAGTACAGGTCTTATGAGGAGTGGCTGAAGGAGCTGGGACTGTTCAGTCTGGAGAAGAGGCTCAAGGGAGACCTCATTGCACTCTACAACTACCTGGAGGGAGGCTGTAGCAAGCAGGAGATTGGCCTCTTCTCTTGTGTAACTAGTGATAGAACTACAGGGAATGACTTTGAGCTCCACCAGGGGAGATTCAGGCTGGACATTAGGAAATACTTTTCTGAAAGAGTGGTCAGGTGCTGGAATGGGCTGTTCAGGAAGGTGGTGGAGTTGCCGACCATGAAGGTGTTCAAGGAATGTTTGGATGTTGTGTTGAGGGACATAGTGTAGTGACAAGTATTGATGATAAGTGGATGGTTGGACTGGATGATCTTGTAGGTCTTTTCCAACCTTGGTATTTTTGTGATTGTGTGATGTCAGGCAGGTATCTCAGCTCCCAGTATTGCTGATGGAGAACTGATGTATGATTCACTGACACACACACAATTGTCTGAATTGTCTGAATCTTTTTGGGATTTAGCATACTCAAGACTATCCAACCTAGCCACTAGCTGTCAAACCAGACAGCTTCCTTTTAAGGAAGCCTCTGGAATTTCATATAAATCCTTTATCATTGTCAGCAGTTTACGGGCAGTTTCAGCCCATTCCATGACTAGCAGAGCAGAGGGATTTGTGAATCCACACCTCCAGAAAAGGGAAACGGAGGACCCTGAATAATTAAAAACAGCAGCAATGATCTGAGGAGAAACAAACTAATTTACTAAATTTGGAATTGGAATGAAAGATAACACGCTAGAATACATCATAATATAATTAGAATTGGAGCTAATAAATCAAATAAAATGAGAGTGTCCGAAATGTGGAAAGGCCTTACCATAATGCTGAGATGAGACATGCCGTCGGGTTGATCAGCAGGGAGGAGAGGCTGACGATTGAAAAGAGGGACATTGGATGACCTACTAAGGCCTTATATCTGTTACCCATGAGCAGAAATGATAACAGTACAGCAAAGTTTTCCGGGGAATGTAGTTCTTCTTCTCTTCCAGACGGTGCCCCGAACTGGAGCATTAACTCTTTAACTCCCAGTGCACTACATGATGTTATGATGTGTAATACCAATAACCAAAAATCATAAAACATGACAATCATATATATCAGCTTCACATACATCCAAGGATGCCTTGGATGTTTGAGGAAATCTCAGATGCAATGCATCAGACTCTTTAGGGAAGGTGCATTTCTTTCTTAGGTGCCTGCTTTATTATATAGACATATAAGCTGGGATATTTTAACATAGCACTGAATCCAAGCCTTTTTGTTATCTGCAGATAGAATGCAATTATATGCATTTATGCATATGTATTGAAGTGCATGTATATGTATATCTATTTTCTGTGTTAGGAAAAGTCATCCTTACCAGTAGTAGATGAGTTTACACTCTGGGGTGTTTTGTTCATTTTCCTTTTTGGAGAAAGAGAGAAGATTTTCTGTTTTACAGATTCTTACTTGAAAATAGGACTTTAAACATAAAACTCATAAAGTGCTAAGCAATTGTTTCATGATATCACTTTTACAGAGGGTTATGGTTAGCAGCATAAAGTTCATGTGGAGTCCAGTTTATCCAGGGGTTGGACTTCTTCAGTAATAAGACAGTGCAAAAGACTTTACTGTCAGCAAGTTCTCACAGAAACTACAGAAATGGGAAGAATGGCTGATATAACAAATAGCCATTTGTTATTGAATTGTTGCCATTCATAAGATGGAGAAATCTTCTGATAAAAACTTAATGAAGTTCAACAAAAGGAAATGCTAGTCCCTCATCTAGGGATGAATAACCCATGTATTTGTTGTACACTGATGCTGACTGGCTGGAAAGCATCTTCATGAAGGACCTGGGAAAACAAATTGAACATGACCTAGCAATGTGGCCTGGCAGTAAAAACAGCCAAAAGCCTCCTACACTGAATTACTAAAAACACTGGTAGCAGGTCAAAGGAGGTGATCTCTGCTGAGCACTGAAGAGTCTACATCTGCAGTGCTGTATCCAGGTTTGCATTTCCCAGGGGAAGAGAGGCATGGATATACTGGAGTGAGTTCTGCAATGAATCATTAAGATTTTTAAAAGATAGAAACACTTTTCATGCAAGGAGAGGCTGAGGGAGCTGGGACTGTTCAGGCTGAGGAAGAAAAGCCTCACGGTGTTCTTACCTGATATAAGGTATAAATACCTTAATATGAAGTGCAAAGGAAATGGGCCAGACTTCTTAGTGGTGCTTAGTGACAGGACAAGAGGCAATGGACAAGGCTGAAATGCACTAGCATTAAATGTAACATTTAAATGTAAAACAATCAAGAAAACATTTTTGCTGCGATGGTTTTAGCAATGGTACAAATGGCTCAAAAGTACTGTAGAATCTTCATTTTCAGAGACATTTAAGTATCAACTGGATTCTCTTGAGCAGAATTTCTACAAAATAACTCTAGAGTTTTCTCCAGATTATCTTCATGGCTCCCTTCCACAATTCTGTCTATCTGTCATTCTGTGATCTTTTTGTAGAATTTGCTTTTAAGAGAAAGATTTTCATAGTCAACTTGTTTTTGACATAAAATATTGTTAAAGGAAACATGATTGTTTATGACAATACAGGTGTAAAAAACTTACAAAAATATTATACAAACAACTTTGTTGATATTCAGGCCTAAAATCAGATAAGCTGATGTTGCACAAGCTGTCATACATTTTACTAATCCCTTATTACAGAACTGTGAATGGGGATAAATAAATGGCAGTAAGACACACATTACAAGACAGAGGAAAACAGTTACCAGAGATTGAGAAATAGTGTTACCAAACTAATCAGCATGAATGTCATATAATCCACTATTGTTGTACAGCCTGCTCCAGTTGTATGTAAAGTGCTGGCATTGATGGTTTGATGGATTTGCTTTATGTCACTGAGGTTCGTCTTATCTGGCATCCCTGTTGAGACAAATAAGAAAAAACATTATGATGGATGCCTCTGTCAGTTCTGGCAACATGTTACAGCTAGAAAATGTGTGTGTTTCTTCAGCACATGTAGTGTCACTGTTCAGCGTCTGATTCTCATGTTTCTGCCAAATTAAAAATCCTTTATGATTGCATCTACAAAGACACAATAAAGTATATGACTATTAATCATTGAAGATATGTCAAAGGTCCACCAGCTATGAACAAAGAATTTCTTGTACAATATTCTCAACAAACATTTTCAAACCAAGATGAACAGTTTTGCAAGTTGCACAACAATTCACTACTTACATATTTCTAGGGTTTGAAGGGATAATAAAATAATTTCACATGACATTGGTTCTATCTAGATCACAATATTTTTCCAAATTAACATATACCTGATGCAAGAGGTACAGTAAATTATGTTTGTTGCTATATAAAAACCTCCCTTTTTGTGCAATTTGCCTGACTTCAAATAGGATTTTTTTTACTGAGTTCTGGGCAGAATAGTTTTACTTTTTGGACCAGGATAAAAAATTATCCAACTCAAAAGAGTGCTTTATATGGAACAAGGACATAATCATCCATTGTATTTCCTGTACCTGTTTAAACAATCAAAAACCAAAAGTCTTGGAGACGCATCTAAATTCGGAAGTTTTATAAGGTCCTTACATTTGCTATTCATACTGTTAGACTGTCTTACCCTATATAAAAATTTGTGGCATGCCACTATCAATCAAAATTAACAAGTCTAAAGACAGTGTTATTACACGCAACAAATATTGACATTGTAATTACATTCATATAAAGCAATGTCGATATTTCTGTAACTAGGTCAATACATATATAATTAAGTAGGTAAACTCTACTATTGGAATGAAGCTCATCACTACTGAGCTGATATAGAATTTACAGTCTAAGTTCTTGCATTCATTGTTTAGGTACTTCTTTGTATCATTTGTAAAGATAAGTAAACTAGGAAACATCTTTTTGTTTTTGGGCTGTGATGAAGTATAAATATTTTAGTCATGGTGTTGTCCTCTGTTAAGCTAATTTAACAGAAGCTACAGAGAATCATCATTTTTGATAGGAACAACTTTTTCATTGCTTGAGTTATAAATACTCTTTTTTTCTAAAGGCAGCTTGAAAGCTGCTCTTTGTGAACCTGCTATATATACCCAAATATCCTCCTATCCTTCCTGTAGCTTTGAAAAAATACATTAAAGGAAGAGTCAGTTAAAGTCAATCATGTTGCCTGAAGAATCTGCTAGGATGAATTTATCTTCTTTGTAGCTATAGTCAGACAGGAAAATAGACTGCTATTTTGTGGATTTATCGATCCAGAGCTCTTACCTGGAATTTGTGAAAATTAGCTATTTCAGTACAATGCAAGTGGACATACAAGAAGGAAGAGAAACAATAAAGGCTAGCAAGGAGAGAAGAAATTTCTCCTTATCATGCACATTTGGTAGCAGTCTGTCTAGAAAAAGATGAGGCACTCAGTGCTTCACTGAATGGATGTTTGGTGGATCACCAAAGAGCATAGATCAAAGGGGTTTTTTTCCAAGGCAATTTTGGAAGTAGAACTAAAACAGTTTTTACTCATGCACTTTCATCTCTTAAAATTAAAAAAAAAAAATCTTTATTTAATAAACAATTCAATTCCTAGACTATACTTATTTAAATAATAGTAATTATTATTGTAGTATTTAAATAAATATTTTATCCATTAAACATTCAGATTCAGACACTTAAAACATCTTTCAGATATCATAATCAGTCATGGAGGTGATCCTTCCCTTTAAATGAGTTTAACACTCCTAATTCATAGAAAACTTGCAGTAATAACTCTACAAATATTTGTAGCAAAAAAAAAAAAAAAAAAAAAAAAAAAAAAAAAAAGAGGAGAAAAAAATTTTTTTTTTCTAAAGAACAG